CCCCAAAACCCCAAAACCCCAAAACCCCTGATAAAGACATATGCAAATGATGAAGAAATCTATTGATTATTTAATTATAGGATAATTCAGTTTTATTAATGTTCAGATTCGTTTCTTACTAAATCTGTTTTCTTATCTGGATTTTAAGGCAAATGTTATAAATTTTCGAAATCTCTAAGTTGTATATAAGTCCTGATTAAATATGTTCTCAAGAAATATTTTCCCTATTTAAATTGTTAATCGATTGTAACAACATAGATTATTCATATGATTGGGATAATGATTATCAGTTGAAGTCTAATGACTTACCATGACATCTATGAAGAGCGTTCTATCTATATCCTCCTTATCTCCAAAGCAGCTAATTAATCTATCTAATGCTGATTCCATAAGCTTCTCACAGTCTTTCAAATATGCCTCTGATTAATCATTTTGGATATCTTAATCCTTAATTATTCCTATAGGAATTATATCAATTTCATCTTTTTTTCAAAAGAGCAAATATTGGCAGATATTTCTTCACAAATAACTATAACTTACTTCTTCTCTATGTAACAGAAATATGCATTAGATCTTTGGCTAGCTGTCTTATCTTAGTTTTAGGTACAGTTTCATTACAAGCTGGATTCACCAGTAGCCATAGGTCAGATTAATGCTACTCTGGATCCCCATAATGGCAATATAAATAGCCAATCAATAGTAGCTTCTCTGTAAGATATTCACCCATCTCAAAAGCAAACTCCTCATCTCCATATACCTTATACTCTACTGACTGATAGTTCTTTTCCATTTCCTCAATATTAAGTTAGATGAGCTCAGATATGGCTCTCAAGTGAGACATGTTAAGCCTTCTTGAATTATGCCCGTAGTGCTTCACCACGCTCCAAAACTTTCTGAATTTTATCTTGGACAAATGGAACAATTATTCTTGTTCGTAGATCTGCTTTTCAATTGGCGATAACTAGTCAATAAAGAGTGTTTTGCTTCTTGAAGAACTGCATGCTCCCCTGTAATTTGAATAAACGTTAACTTCGTAAAACTTACATTTTATTTTTAGCTGTTTGAATCAATTATTAAATTTCTATTTGATTTATTTCTTAGAGGTTATACATCGTAATTGGGGTTTTGGGGTTTTGGGGTTTTGGGG